AGGGAGCCCGATGCGGGGCTCGATCCCAGGACCCCGGGATCATGACCTGAGCCGAAGGCAGACGCTTAACCGACTGAGCCACCCAGGCGCCCCTGCTTGCTGGTTTTAAAGCACAAATAATTGGCCCAGGCAAAGGGACCCCTGGTTTCTGGTGTTCTGGGCCCCATCGGTGGTCAGCCTCGGGATGGTGGGGTGTGGGAGATGGACCCCAGCTCCCAGCACTTTGGGTGCGGCCGCCATGGCTGACCCCGGGTGGGTGTCTTGCAGATCCCCCCCACATCGAGGACTCAGGCCAGCCTGCAGAGCTGTTGCTGACCCCCGGCTCCCCCTTGGAGCTCCACTGTGATGCCCGGGGCACCCCCCCGCCCAACATCACCTGGCATAAGGATGGACAGGCCCTGAGCAGGCCTGAGGACAGCAGCAGGGCACTCCAGATGGAGGGCGTGCAGGTGCTGCTGGCCCACTGCCGTGGGATGAGGCTGGGGGAAGGGGTGGCGAGTGGGGGGAGGAGAAGGACCCGGCAGCACTTGGCAGTTAGGCTGAGCTCCTCCTTTGTGCGGGGTGAGCACGTGGAGACCACCCACCTGGGCCATGCCTTCCAGGGCTCCCAGCCAAGTCAGAGCCAAGGCTGATGCAGAAACCAGAGGAGGGCTGGTGCAGTCAAGGGGCACTTCCTGGAAGAGGCAGGCTTTGCCCTAGCCAGAAAGCGAGGGTGAGGTGGAGCTAGAGAAGAAGCATCCCAGAGAGGGGAATGATTGGAAGGGCAGGGTGGCAGGCTCAGCCGGCCTGAGACTGCATCCTCAGTCCTTAGTTGTGGAGGAAGCAAACCAGATCGGGTGGTGGGCAGGCTGGGGCCAGAGGCAGTTGCTCACCCTGCTCCGTCCCCAGGTGGGCGATGCTGGGCTGTACACTTGCCTGGCCCAGAGCCCTGCTGGCGAAGTCGAGAAGAGCTTCCGGGTCAGGGTTCAAGGTAGGGGGTGCCGGGGGGAGGCAGGAGAGGGAGGCAGGATGGGGCCTACCGGAGCGGGTCCGTCTCTCACGCCCTCTCTGCTGCCCACCTAGGCCCCCCACACGTTGTTGGGCCCCGAGGCCCCCGCCCCGTGGTCGGCCTGGCTCCGGGGCAGCTCATTCTGGAGTGCTCGGTGGAGGCCGAGCCAGCGCCTGAGATTGAATGGCACCGGGATGGCATCCTGCTGCAGGTGGGTGCTAGGCTGGGGACCCGGGGGCGCCACCTTCTGTGCCGCTCGAGCCCCAGACCCTGCAGGCTAGGTCCTCGGTGCTGAGGGACAACCTCATGCCAGCACTTCGCGTCCCTGCTTTCCTGGTGTCCTGCACTCCCGTCGTTATTGTCATCCCCATTTTACGGATGGGGACACTGAGGCAAGGCCAGGATTTACATCCTGGCTTCTAATGCATATCTCTGTTCTTCCCATTATACCTTCGAGCTACACGTAGTGGCTAGGTGACCCAGGGCTAGTTCCTGAGGTTCTCTGTGCTTACCCCTCCCCCGAAGTGGGGACCAAGAATTGTAGGTCTTCTGGAAGCTCCAGCTCGTGATCCAAGCATCAGCCCCCTCTGCAACATCCCCAACAGGCAGATCCCAGGGGTAGGAGGCTCATTCCCTCCCACAGGAGCCTATTTCCCCCAGAGGGGCGTCAGGTGGGCATCTATAGGCCAGCCCAGAACGGGGCAGAGACCACTGTCCCGCCCCACCGGTTCCTTGGTCCTCCTTGCCTGGTGCCTGGGGCTGGCCTACCCTGGCCCAGCACTAACGAGGGTCTCTCCACCCTGGGGACTCTATAGGCGGATGCCCACACCCAGTTCCCAGAGCAGGGCAGGTTCCTCCAGCTGCAGGCCCTGAGCACGGCCGACGGGGGCGAATACAGCTGCACGGCGCACAATGCCGTGGGCAGCACCAGCGTGGCCTTCCGTGTGGAGATCCACGGTGAGTGGCCTCAGCCCGCCACCCCCCCCACGCTGGCCCTCCTTCCAGCTGCAGCTCCCAGCACCCACTCCCTCTGTGGCCCTCCCCCAGCGGTGCCCACCATCCAGCCAGGACCCGCCACAGTGACCGCCTCTGTGAACCAGACGGCCCTGCTGCCCTGCCGCGTGGACGGCGCCCCCCCTCCCCTCGTGAGCTGGCGGAAGGACGGAGCCCCCCTGGATCCTGACGGCCCCAGGTGAGAGCTGGGCCGGGGGGTCTCGGGGGCGGGTTCTAAGCAGAACCCCGCCTGGGCAGTTGGAGCAGGAAGGTGGCTGTGTGGCCAGCACGTGGGCGCTTCTCAGAACCCAAAAAACAGGCTTGGGGGTGTCAGGAAACTCGGGTGGCTGTCTGTCTGTCTGTCTGGTTTTGACTCTTGGTTGCTCCTCTCTGTCTCTGTGGGAGGGGGCTTCATGTTTCTCTCTTTGTGTCTTTCTCTCAGGCCCATTTTCTGCACCTTCCCCACTGTGAACATGGCAGAGACAGCCCCCTGGTCCCCTCTGCTCCCAGGTTATAGCTTCTGAGTTCATGCAACCTGCAGAGTCTAGAGAACTGCCTGATGATCCCAGTTCCGAGGGTGGAGCGTTCCACTGGTCCAGCCTGAGTCTAGCTGGTCCAGCTCATCCCCAGTCCTGCTGGCTGGGGTGCAGTCCAGACGCGGCCCCAGGAAAGGACAGTCCTCAGGTCTGGGGGACATGCTCAGAAAGGGTGCTTTCTGGATGCTGCTGCCTGCTGACTCTTAGGGAGAAGCTGGGCCCAGGTGGGAGCACGGGAGGCCCCCACAGCTGCCCATGGCTGTGACCTCCTCTGACCTTGGCCTCATGGATGCAGGACTCCAGAGTTAGCACTTTCCTACCAGGAAAGCCAGGGGCAGAGGAGACACCACCAGGGTCCAGCTCCTCCAAGGGCCTCCCTAGGCTGCTGGTCTTCGTGGCAACCCCCTCCCTCCATTCCAGGCTGCAGGTCCTGCCCGAGGGTTCCCTGAGGATCCAGCCCGTCCTTGCCCAGGACGCCGGCCACTACCTCTGTCTTGCATCCAACTCTGCAGGCTCTGATCGGCAAGGCCGCCATCTCCAGGTCTTTGGTAGGTAGACGAGAGAAAGCATGTTCCTTGCCTTCAGCATCCATCCCCTGTCTGGGCTGGGTCCAGCTTGGTTTCTGGGTTCATCCTTGCTGTCAGGAGCAATGGCTTCTCAGTGTTCTTGACTATGAAGCCTATGAATAAAACTTGCGACCACACATACTCAAAAGGTACATATTTATTTTATGCATATAGCACATACACTTAATACTATACTATTGTATTGAATGTGCACAGATAGGAAACATTTGAAAAGATAAGATTCAGAATCACTACCAGACGCTCTAATCTGCTCTTCTCATTCCAGTGGATCCCCTTGGTGGAGGCCACCCTGCTGGGCCCTGGCCTTGAGCAGGGCTGATGAGGGGTGGGACCCTGAGGGCTACATTCAGGGAGAGGTGGTCAGGGGGCCGCCAACCTGGGGGGCGAGCAAAGGTCCTATCACCCCAGATTTGGGAGCCTGTTGGAAGATTCCTGCAGAGTGTCTCCTGTTCTCCCCGCGAGGATGGGTAGATGGTGGTGGAAAAAGCCCCTGCGCCTGCCTCCATCCTGCACCCTTGTCTGCTGTCTCCCCAGAGCCTCCAGCCATCACCCCTGGCCCCTCCAACCTGACCCTGACTGCCCACACCCCTGCCTCACTGCCCTGTGAGGCCAGCGGCTCCCCCAAGCCCCGGGTGGTCTGGTGGAAGGATAGACAGAAGTTGGATTTCCATCTGCAGCAGGATGCTTACCGGTACGGAGCTGGCCCTCGGGGTGGTACCATGAGGTGCTCAGGGTAGGGAAGGGGGTGCCCGTTTCATGGTGGGGAGCCCGGTCGGAAACAAGGCAGGGAGGCACTCTGGTCCTCAACAAAGCACCAGGGTCTATGTCTCAACCTCAGGGGTCTAGAAGGATCTTCACTGAGATGCCCAACAGGGGGTTTAACACCATTACAGTTGCTGGGACATAACAATGTCGATACCTGGAGGCCTGAGTTCGGCTGAGCCCGAATACTCGTCTCCCTATTTGTCAAAGGTAGCTGATCATGAAATGACCCCTGGGCACATTAAAGGAGTCAATTCACCAATTAATTCGCCAGATATTTGCTGTGTCAGGTGCTGGACCATCACGGAGCTTTTGTCTAAAGCAGGTGTTCAACCAACATAAGCTGTTCTGATAAGGGACTTGGATCTGGTCGCTATTATAGAAGTTGTCAGAGCTGGTGATTGCAGAAACATACAGGGTAATAGAGAAACACAGGGATGAAAATTAAATTTGCCCACAAGCTCAACAGCCACATCTTTAAGAATAGAAACTTCTAGAAGAAATTTCTAGATTCAGGGCTGGGGAGCAGATACCAGAGGAGAAATGAGTCATGAGATACCCGGTCCACTGCATCCAGATTGCTGGGCAGGCAGGTCATAGCTGGCTGGGCTCGGGTCAGCCAGGCCCGTCGCTTAGCAGCCAACTGTCTGTCCCAGGCTCCTGCCCTCCAACGCCCTGCTCCTGGCAGCTCCCGGCCCCCAGGACTCAGCCCACTTTGAGTGCGTGGTGAGCAATGAGGTGGGCGAGGCCCGCAGGCTCTACCAGGTGACCATCCACGGTGAGTTGGAACAGGAGGAGGGAGAAGATAGGATGGGGGTATCACCTGCATCTCCTGATCCCACCCGACGCAGCCCTGACTCCAGCACTGTTCCTGGCACGTAGGATCTCTCAGGAGAGTCCTTTCCCCAATCCAGATTATTCTAAACCCCAATCTGACTTTGTCATCGCCCTGGTGAAAATTCCTCCCTTCACGGCTACCCACTGCACTCAGGATGGAATGCAAAGGTGTCACCTGGGTCCGCAGGGTCCTGTGCATGCTGGCCCAGCCAACCGCCCCCCCACCCCCCAGGTTCAGCTCACCCCAAGGCCCGCCTCACTCTGGGATCCAGTCATGCTGCTTAGCTTTTAGTTCCTCACCCCCAGGGCCTTTGCATATTCTATTTCCCTCTGCACATGCCATTCCCTCTGCTCTGAACACTTCACCCTTCACCCAGCGGACGCTTGCTCTTCCTTCAGATCTCAGGTTAAATGACACTTTCCCTGGAGACCTTCTCTGGCCTCCCCAGCTCTGAGCTCCCACTCTTGTGAAGGCTCTCTTGGGAAACACTCCAGAGACACCTAGCTGGTATCTCTGCAGAAAGCAGTTCTTAACTATACCCCAAAGCCCAGCAAAAAATACTTCCCGAGCGAGTGTTGTGACCTCTCTCTGTTGCCCCTCCCTCCCTGGCCCTTCGTCACTGATGTCACCTGTGTCTTAGTCTTCTGTTGATAGCTCTCATTCACCTGGCCCAATGGCTGCGTGGTCCCCCGTGGACCTCGGCAGGGCCTCAAGCCTTGTATTGCATTATAGTACCTCCCACCATTGCCGACGACCAGACAGACTTCACCGTGACCAAGATGGCGCCCGTGGTCCTCACATGTCACAGCATGGGTGTCCCGGCCCCGGTCGTGTCCTGGAGCAAGGCAGGCACCCAGCTGGGGAGGCGGGGGAACGGCTATCGTGTCTTGCCTTCGGGTAAGTAAGGGTGAGCCACGGAGAATGGAGACTGGGGGGATCGGGCGGAGGGTATGAAAGCAGACCATTGGAGCCAGGTGGGAGAGCAAGATGGAGCGCCCCGGCCTGGCTCTGCCGTTCCCTGCTGTGTGACCTAGGGGGACCCCTCACCCTCTCTGGGCCTTAGTATCCCCACTTACGCACTAGCTTGTTGATGTTCATCAGTGGTCCCCTGATGTTAGTTGACAGATCGGTGCCGCTCCTCATGGCAACGTGAGGAAAATAATATCTACGTGAGAGTTTTCATAAAGCTAGTTTGATCTCATCCGAAGGATTTTCCGTTACTCTGAAATTATACTTTTCTTAATATTTTAGTGTTAGAAGTTCCTCTCTTTCATGAAATCAAGATGATAATAGATGGGTGCTCAAAATTGAAAGTTGGCAACTCTATGGGGATTATCCAAATTACATTTATTTGTTAGTTGGTGAGCTGGTGAAATCCTAAAGCCTGAGCACCACTGGCCAGATCTGCGGTTTTCAAACTCTTCCAAAGCAGTAGAACCCTTTCTTCTGACAATCGGTTATAGGGAAGCCCATCACGTAAAGGAAGTTGACGTTCTGGTTCCATCTGGGGCTGGAGTGGTCCAGGAAGGTTAAAACGGTGTTCACCAAGCACCCAAGACTAAGGAAGACAGGGCAAAGGGAGGACAGATGAAGCAGTAATCTGGGAAGGCTTCCTGGAGGAGGCAAGTTTTGAGCAAATCACGGCAAAGGTAGCAGGGTGAGGGCCCGTGGAACTATGGGTGGGCCAGGGATTCTAGGCAGGGTGGTGGCAGGTCCTGGAACATCACAGCCAGAAGTTTCTAGAGACCACCCTGTCTGATTCCTCGTTGTACACATGGGGAAACTGAGGCCCCAAGAGTGGAAGGGACTTGCCCACAGTTATGCTCCAGACAGGGAACACAGACAGGCCTCGAACCCAGGTTTTCCCTTGCTGCTTACAAATGGGCAGGGAGGCAGGTGGAGTGGCCTGCAAGAGAGACACCGGGGTGGGGGTGGGTAAGGGACGTCTGTCCCGGGTCCCCTCAGCCCTCTCCATGCCCCGCTGCCACCCGCAGGTGCCCTGGAGATCGGGCAGGCCCTCCCCATCCACACCGGCCGCTACACTTGCACGGCCCGCAACTCTGCCGGCGTGGCCCACAAGCATGTGGTCCTTACTGTGCAGGGTAAGCGTCTCCTGGCAGGTGGAGGAGAGCTAGAGGCAGGTAGGGCTGGGTAGGGAGGTGAGGGCCCCAGGTTCCAGATGCCCAGACCTGCCGCTGATCTGACTCCCCGATGGGATTCCTTGGGAGGGAAGAACCGGCCCCCCGGAGTCCTCCGTGCTGCGATTTCAGGAATCCCCTGTTCCTTGTAGAGGCTCCTGTCTCTGGTGCTCAGGGACCCCTGGTGGGAGGGGCCTGGGCGTTAAAGGTGTCCCCAGGGACCTCTGCAGCCCTGTCCCCTTGCAGCCTCCCCCGTGGTGAAGCCTCTGCCCAGCGTGGTCCGGGCTCTGGCAGCAGAGGAGGTGCTGCTGCCTTGTGAGGCTTCGGGCATCCCCCGGCCAAGCATCACCTGGCAGAAGGAGGGGCTCAGCATCCTTGCAGGTGAGTCTCAGCACCAGCAAGGGAAGAACTGTATGGGCCTGGGATCCTCCCGCGTGCCCCAGGCAGGGAGGGAGGGGCTATTGGGGGGGGGGCTCTGCAGACCTGCTGGGAGGTCCCAGGAAGTCCGTGCGTCCGCTTCACCTCCTGCCCACCTGTCTCTGTTCACCAGCCAGAGCTTGATAGTCTGAGCACTCAGTGGCGGAGTTGGCAGGATGGGGGTGGCGGGGGCAGCCTGGCTGGGCTCTGGGGCTCCGTCCCCCTGAACCCCGCGATCACAACAAGGCACTTGCTGCCTGGTCCAACAGAATGGCCAAGTGGCCCTCCTGCCCTCCTCGGTGGTCCTGCTGCCCCCACCACCAGCCCCTGATTTCCTCCCCGCTAATCCAGGAGCAAGTACCCAGGTCCTACCCACCGGACAGCTTCGGATTATCCACGCCGGCCCAGAGGATGCCGGGAACTATTTTTGCCTTGCCCAGAACAGCGCGGGCAGCGCCGTGGGGAAAACACGGCTGGTGGTGCAAGGTGGGCCCAGGGAAGGGGGCTGAGGCGGACCCCAGCGGGCTAGGGCCTTCGGCATCCCTGCATCCTTCCCTATCCCAGCGTGGCTTGTATTCCAGACGGAACTGAGGGAAAAGCATCTTCTCCCATTTTGTGCTCAAGGTCTGCCTTTTGACCGTAACTCGGGTCCCTCTGCGTCCTCTGACCTTTCAGGAGTCATCCCTCATTCATTTGTGGCTTTCCAGTAACAAAAGCCATTTCTGTCCCCTTAGCCATTGTGTGTACATTGGCATCACCCTGTCACAGCTTCACCAAACTCAACAGTCCCCAAATTGTCCAGAGCGCGGGCAATGGCCTATGACAGAGGTGGTGGAGGCAGCAGATGGGGGTGGAGGAAGGGGCGAGGGGGATGCCGACTGCCTAGGGCGCTGGAGAGGGGCAGCCCACCCCAGCCCAGCCCCTGTCCCCACGTGGCCCTCCCTCTCCCCACAGTCCCGCCCGTGATCGAGACTGGCCTCCCTGACCTGTCCATTACCGAAGGCTCCCACGCCCTCTTGCCCTGCTCGCCCAGCGGCAGTCCTGAGCCCAGCATCACCTGGGAAAAAGATGGCCAGCCCGTGTCCGGAGCCGAGGGGAAGTTCACCATCCAGCCTTCGGGGGAGCTGCTGGTGAAGAACCTGGAGGTGAGCCTCCCACCCTGTGCGGCGCGAAGGGGAGTAATAATGACAATGGGAGCAGAAAATCTCTGCTGAGCAGCCCCCTGTTTGTCATGGTCTGTGCTGAGCGCTGTGCAGCTTTCAATCCCAGGGGTATTATAATCCCCAAGTACAGATGAAGAAACTGAGGCTCAGAGTGTATCCAGTTTTTGCCAAGAGGCAGAACCAAGATTTGAACCTGGACCTCCGTGGCTAATTCCTGAGGGACGGAAGGAGCCCTGGACGGGGCGGGGGGCGGGGCACAGAGATGACTCTGTGTCCCCACGCAGTGCCTGTTTGCTGTCCACCCTGCTTTGTTGCTGACCTGAGCCCAGGGCGTGGGTGTGATCCCCACCCCACTTCCCCAACAGCACTTAGATTCTATAATTACAAACGGGCCTCTCTCTGGACGGATGGGCAGTGGCTCGGTGGGTGCACCTGCTGGGCGGGGGGGCAGTCACAGGGTCCTCTGACCTCGCCGCACGGAGAGCCAGATAGCATGGTGAGTGCACCTGCCTTGCTGCAATGCCCCACGGGACGTCTCAAAGCTTGGCGGAGCCCTCTCTACAAAAGGCACTCAACACGGGGCCTGTCTCAGGGATGATGGGAGCATGGATGAGCTGGTGCAGGTGAAGTCCCGAACAAGGCGTCCGGCAGATCGTGGGTGTTGTTACCATCGTGCAGTCAGGGCTTGGATGGTTAGGAAGGCTGCCGGGGGGGCGCAGCGGTGAAGCGGTGAAGCAGAGCCATTTACTGGCTGTGTGACCTTGAGCAAGCCCCTTCACCTCTCTGGGCTGCATGCTCCCAGGGAACCTGCGGGAGAAGGGGTCCCTAGGAGCTGCGGGTGGGGGCAGTGCTCAGGCTGACCCCTCCTCTGCCGACAGAGTCAGGACGCTGGGACCTACACCTGCGTGGCCGAGAACGCCGTGGGCCGCGCCCGCCGCCGCGTGCACCTCAGCATCCTGGCACTGCCCGTCTTCACCACCCTGCCTGGGGACCGAAGCCTGCACCTCGGGGACAGGCTGTGGCTTCGCTGTGCGGCCCGGGGCAGCCCTACCCCCCGCATTGGCTGGACCATCAACGACCGGCCAGTCACGGGTCTGGGCCTCCTGGGAGCGGGTGGATGGGGACCCAGGACCTGGGAGGAGGGCAGACTGGTGGGGAGACCCAACCTCGTGGAGAGGAAGACGGTGTCAGGTTCTGGGTCTCCAGACTTGGCCCTGTGCGGGGGGAGCAGAGCAAACACACGTGTGGCCGTATGTGACAGGTCACGTGTCAGACCTGACAAGAAGCCACCTGCGAAAAAGACTCAACCCCGAGACCTCAGGGCCGGGATGGGCCTTGTGTTCCAACCCAGCACTGCTGCTCCCACTGTGGGCCCCTGGGAAAACTCCTTTCCTTGGGGGCGGGGCTCTGTTCTCCCATCTGGTCCCCAGGTGATGTTTAGAGAGGCACAGGGCCTGCACAGGGCACAGGGTATATAGTAGGTGCTCAGTGAATGTCTGCTGAATTGATGAGTTGCTGAGTCCCCTCCACTGCAAAGTGATATTTTCAGACGCTCCTAAACCGGAGTCCAGGAGCTATGAAATGGGCTCAGAAGCTCACCTTTGTGCACCTGTGAGGAACACTTTGCCCGGACCCCCCCGTTTGGGGGAGTGATTCAGCCTCTCTGAGCCCAGCTTCTTCATCTCAAGATGGAGATAACAGGGGTGCTGAGGGTGAACTGGTTTAATGCGGGAAGTGCATGTTAATAGGCCCCCAAAGACCTACCCTCGCCCACGCAGCCAGCTCATGGTGCAGACTTGAAAATGATAGAAGTCTGGTTCTTCCAGCGCATCCCCTACCGTGGCCTGTGCCTGCCGTGAATGGGTCTGACATGGTCAAGCTCCCACCTCGGGAAGAGACACCTGTTTTCATGTCTTTGCTAAACACCTGCTGGGTACCCCGGCCTGAGTGAAGTATTCAGGGCAGGAGGGGTCCCTAGCACCCTGGACTCAAAACCCTGCGGGGCATCTCTTTTCTACCAGAGGGGGTGTCTGAGCAGGATGGGGGCAGCACACTGCAGCGGGTGGCCGTCACCAGAGAGGACAGCGGGACCTACGTCTGCTGGGCCGAGAACAGAGTGGGCCGCGTGCAGGCTGTCAGCTTCGTCCATGTGAAGGGTAGGGCATGAGCCTTGTGGCCTTTCCTGAGACCCCCTGATGAACCCGATGTGTTGGTTTTTCTAAGAAATAGACCTCCTGACCTCTGAACTAGTAACCCTCCACCCTGACTGTGCCTTAGGATCTCCTGGGGGACTTTAGAAAATGCTGAGGCCCAGGTTCCCCCTCTGACTCCAAAAACCAGCCTGTCTGGGGTGAAGCCCCAGCATCAGGATTTCTTATGTTCCCCAGATGAGTTGGCTGCAGGTAGAATGAGATCTGACCAATTGGTGGGCAGCACCGCCCTCAGCGGCATGGGTCCCGTGTAGAAGGAGGGCACGGAGGCCAAGGTACCCCGGCAGGAAAATGCCTGAAGCTTGCCAGCCTACCAGTTGTCCCCCACGGCCCTGCTCGGTCAAGGGCAGCATGGTAACCCTCCATGATGCCATGACTTAGTTTGCTTCCTTTCAGGATGGGTAGGGTGGAGCTTCATAGAGGGGAATGAGCAGCCCAAGGCACCAGGACGCAGGTGCAGCTGGTTTCAGCCTCAGGAAACCAGCAAGCCTGGAAACTGACATGGGGCAGCCAAGAGTGGTTTAAGATTTGCATGGGGGCGCTTGCATGGCTCAGTCCGTTAAGCATCCCACTCTTGATTTTGGCTCAGGTCATGATCTCATGGGTCGTGGGATCGAGCCCTGCATTGGGCTCCACGCTCAGCACAGAGTCTGCTTGAGATGCTCTCTCTCTCCCTCTCCCTCTACCCCTTCCCCATTCATGCACAATAAATAAATAAATAAATAAATAAATAAATAAATAAATAATAAAATCTTAAAAAAAACGACTTGCATGAAGCGAGGATCAGGGCTGTCTTAGTGTTGCTCTGTCCAACCCAAGGCGTCCTAATGGTTATGTAGTCTTTATTTCCCAAAGTCCCTGGCAGGTACTCTGCAGCTGGGACAATCCATCCATTCGAGCAAGTATATGACACTCATAACACTACCTTACGTCCTGTACCTGCCTCAGGCATCACTAATCAATCGCAGCACTATTCCCACTCCGTTTCAAATCGGTGTTCCCAGCAGTCTATTTCGCTTGACCCATGACATGGAAGTTGTCTGCCATCCCTGATGTGTTGACTATTCACAGTCATGCTGGGCCAGCAGGAGCCTCTGGGGATGGGTTTATGGGAGAGGCTGAGGGAACCTCCTTTCTGACATTTTGTCTGATGTTATCTTGCAGAAGCCCCTGTGTTGCAAGGGGAGGCCTTCTCCTACCTGGTGGAGCCTGTGGGGAGCAGCATCCAGCTGGACTGTGTGGTCCGTGGCGCCCCGGCACCTGACATCCACTGGATCAAAGATGGCCTCCCGCTCCGGGGCAGCCGGCTCCGGTATCGGCTACAGAATGGCTCGCTGACCATCCGCAGGACGGAGGCAAGGCGGGACCCAGTGCCTTGGGGTGGGGACATCCCACAGCCTTTTCTGATGGCTTAGGAGAGTTCTTTAGGTTGCCACAGTCCCCTACAGTCTACAAAGCACTTTCCCACCCATGACCCAGATTCTCCCCACCACTAACTCGAGTAACCTCCAGCCTGTGACTTTTCTCTGTGACTCAGTCACCCTGGCCGTTCAGTGGGGCTAATAGTTGTTTCTACCTCATAGGTTTATCGTAAGAAATCAGTGAGATGACCCATGCCAGGAATTTAAGAGTGACTGGCCCCTGGGTAATACCAATAAATGTGATTATTAACAACCCCATAGCGCAAAGTAGACAAGTAAGAGTGCCCCATTTTACAGATGAAGACACTGAGGCTCAGAGAGGCCCATGACCAGTAAGTGCCCAAGGCAGGACCCCATCCCAGCTTTCCTGACTCCTGCTCTATGCTGTTTCCAAAGTGTTGAGCCCTGGGGCAGCCCCCCTCACCTTCCCAGTGGTCATGTGGACATCCATAATACTGTCCTGTTACGCTCTTCCTCGGGGCCCTTGCTTTCGCCCACCATTACCTGAGTCTCTACCACGGGCTAGGCCCTGGTAGATACTTTTGCTCTGACGAGCATGATTTCCTGTCCAATCTTAGCGGCCATGATCCCCATTTTAGCAATGGGGAGATGACGTGTCCTCGTATGGGGACATGGCGGCATATTTGTAATGAGTCCAGGACCGTCCCCTGTGGAGCCAGATTTAGTCCCATCCTGATCTGACCCCCAAATCTCCACTCTCACCTGCATGCTGTGCTGCCTCCACAGTCCCTTGGGAGCGGCCTCCAGGATATCACCTTCTGGGTGTAGACGGTGGCCTCAGGCTGCCCCCCAGCTCCCGCTCCTGGTGGCAGTGCCACTCAGAAGTGGATCTGAGCTGTGTTCTTCCCGGGCTTCCTCACTGGCCGTGGTGGTGGGCATCCTGTAGAAAAAGCTTCTCTCTCGCTAAGCTGGGAAAACACCACAAACCCTCTGGAAGGCTCGCGGCACACGCCCGCACAGTAAAAGCCCCAAGGAATCTCGCAGCCAGAAGTGGGTTGTTGTCCGACTCAGTGTTTCCCGAACTTACTTCACCACGGAGCCCTTTTTTCAAGGAATCCCTAATAATGTGCCACGGAGTGATGATACTTCATTGTACCCAGTTTGGAAGAGGGGGATCTAAATCATGCTTCTGCAGCATGTGGCTCCACCAAGGGCAGCAAATCCATGCTCTCAGTCACCATTGCCCCCCATGTTCCAGGTGTGAAAGAGGCTAGATCCTCTTTGGATGTCTGTTGACAAGAGCCGTGGAGGCTCTTCTGATGAACTCCACGAGCCCCCGGCTGGTTTACCCTCTAAGCTCCTCTGGTTAGACGGGTCTTACTCCAGTCGCCTGTTTCCATGCCCCGAATGGCCCCCTCATCCTGCTCTCCTGAACACCACGCACCCCCTCCCATGCCCCCCTGCAGATGGACGACGCCGGCCAGTACCAATGCCTCGCAGAGAATGAGGTGGGCGTGGTGGAGAAAGTAGTGATCCTCGTGCTGCAGAGTGAGTCTCGGCCTCCCCCTCGCTTGGACCCTGGGTGGGTAGGGACAGTGTCGGGGGGCGCTCAGGGGGTCGAGCAGCCGTGCTGAGGCTGGCGTGGTGCGTCCCAGGCTGCCTGATCAGAATGGAGGGCAGAGAGGGAGGGCCACAGACTGGGAATTCTCTTGACAAATATTTGTCGAGAACACGCAGTTGAGGTCCCATGAAAATCCAGGGACCCAACAGCTAGGCCTGGGCGGGGGCCCCATTTATTCAAACTCACAACCATCCACAAGATCACAGTCACAGCTCTTGGATTTGCCAAGTAGCTGGTAGTTTACAGAGTACCATCTGAACCCCAAAGTAACCCTGCCAAATCGTCTATAAATAGGGATTTTGAGTACAACTTTTTATTGAAGATAAACACACATAGGGAGAATACAATGTTATAAGGGTACAGCTCAGTGAATTTTGTTTTTTAATCTTTTATTTATTTACTTACTTACTTAGAGAGAAAAAGAGAGAGAGAGAAAAGAGAGCGCAAGCAGGGAGGGGCGGGGGAGAGGGAGAGAGAGAGAATCTCAAGCAGGCTCCATGCCCAGTGCAGAACCCCACACAGGGCTCAATCTCACGACCCAGAGATCATGAGCTGAGCTGAAATCAAGAGTCGGATGCTTGACTGACTGAGCCAGCCAGGCGCCCCTCGACAAATCTTCATAACATGAACCCACCAGGTTAACTTGCACCCAGAGCAAAAACAGAAAAATGGAACACTACCAGCTCCCAGCCACTCCCATCATATCGTACCCCCTTTCCAGTCAATGCCCCCTGCCCCCAGGTGATCCCTGTCCAGAGTTTTACCTTTAAAAGTCAGCTTGGGGTGCCTGGCTGGCACAGTCGGTAGAGCATGGGGCTCTTGATCTTGGGGTCGTGAGTTCGAGCCCCATGTTGGGCATAGAGATTACTTTGAAAAAAACAGCTTCATTAAGATATATACCACAAAATTCACCCATTCATA